GATCCTTTCCCAGGAGGCTGCAGATGTCAACAGTGACCTGCTGACTGTTTCAGACTTCTGAGGCACTGGTGTGCAGACATGTCAAGAGAGCTGGTCCTCTGCTTGCATTGAGGGTCTCATGCTCAAAGGGTTCCCCACTTGCCTTCAAAATTACCCAGGGAAGACAGAAGAAAGTGAGATCACACTATGATCCCATCTGACAGCACTTGCAAATAGTTTCCAACTCAACTCTGATTGCCTGAATTCTGAATTGTGAGTTCAGATTGGAATATGGGAACGAAAGTCCAGACTGATCTTGGGGACAGCAGCTGACTGGAATTCAGAACTGTGGTCTGATTGGGATTTGGAATTGGCATCTGACTGAAACTGGGGATTGCAATCAGGAAGGATTATTTCTTTACAGAGTTTAATTTTGGTCAAATCATAATCTCAGCCAAAGAGTTTTAACTGTAAACTATCTATCAAAGCTACCTTTCAGCTCTGGCCTGAAGATTGATACTGTTTGATATTACTCCCTGATGGGAAGACTACAGGAGGCTGTGGAGTTTTTCCTATCACACTTGGCTTAAAGAGAATCATCGAGGATTAGACACAGCATCACCATCAATGGACTAACAGTGGACACAAAAAGATCAAAAATATTGGATTAAAAATTGGATGTAACTCCATTACTAAAAAAAGGGAGAGAAATGTAAATAGGAAACCACAGGCTGGTTAGTTTAACATCTGACACAGGATAATCAGCCATCATTCAGAAAAAGGCCATTTGACCGATTGTGTCTGCAGCACCTCTTTGAATGTGCATAACATCTCTTGTGACATTTTCCTGTCCTTTTCCCATAACCATACACATTTTTTTAAACAGTCATTCAATACGTTGATTGAACCTGCCTCCACACACTTCCAAGTAGTGTGTTCTGGACCCAAGTTACCTATTGTGTGAAAAGATTTTTTCTTGTTCACTCTTTTCGCAAATCATTTCAAATCAGTGCCCTCTCATTTTTGATCTTTTTAAAGTAAGAAAGTTTTTTTTACCCTGTCCACTCTGTCCGGAACACTCATAATTTTGTAAACTTCAATCAAATCCTCTTTTAGCTTTCTCCACTCCAATATAATTGCAACCTTCTTCAATCTATCTTCATAACAGGTTTATCATTTCTGAATCCATTTTTATAATCCTCTTCTGCACTCTGTCTAATACATTCAAATTCTTTCTAAAACGTGGTGCCCAGAATTGTTGACAACAATCCAAATGCAGTCGAATTAGTTTCTTATATGGGTTCAGCATAAACCTCCTACTCTTGTCATCATACTACTATTAAGAATACCTAGGATATTATATGCTTTTTTAACCACAATAACAACTGCCCTGCCATCTTTAGTGACCAATGTGTGCATACACAAAGGTCTCATTCTTCACTATTTGGAGCAGTCCCCTTTATTTTATATTATTTCTCCATATTCTTTCTACTAAAATGTATCGCCTAACACTTCTCCTCATTGAACTTCACTAGCAACCTATCTGTACACTCTACCAACTTGTCAATGTCCTTTTAAGTTCTACACTGTCCTCCTCACTGTTTTAAATACCTCCAAGTTTTGTATTATCTGAAAATTTATGGATTTCTCACTTCCACTTTGAAATTTAGATTATAGATATAAATCAGGAAATTTAAACGTCCCAGTATAGGCCCCTAGGGAACACCAGTCCACCTTGATCCAGCCTGAAAAATATTTATTAACCATTACACATTTTCTTATCACTCAGCTAATTTTGTATCCATGTTGTAACTTCCTCTTGTGCAATATTAGCTATAACTTTTCTCACAAACTCTGTTGTTTGGCACTGCACTGAACAGATTTTGGAAATATGCAACATCAACGGTCTTGCCCTCATCAACCTTCACTGTTACCTTTTCAAAACAGTGCATCAAATTCTTTAAACATGATTTTCTCTGAAAAAATCCAGCTGGCTCGTCTTAATCAACATACATTTGTCCATGTGACTATTACTCTATTGCAAGATATTGTTTCTGGAGGCTACCGCACTACCAAAGTTAGACTGAGTGTAATTGTTCATTTTGTCTTTACAAACTTCTTTGAACAAATAAATAATGTTTGCAATTTTCCAGTCCTTTGGCACTACCTTGAGTCCAGGGAAGATTGAAAGTTTATGTCCAGTTTCATTACAATTTTCACATGCACTTCCTTCAATATCCTTCTATGTATCTCATTTGATCTAGGTGTCAATCAACAAGAGCCAACAGCTTATCCAATACATCCTCCTTATCAAATTTAACCCTCTTGTGACTGAGCTTCCTTCTCTGACACCATATCTATTTCCTTGGTAAATACAAATGCAATATATTCATTTCCTGGCACATCCATGCCCCATGCTTCCATATGTAAATCTCCTTTTGGTCCCTAAAAGACCATTCTTGCCCCTTATGGGGACTACTCCACCTTTCAACATCCTTTCACTACTTATGTACCTGTAGAAGACTTTGACATTTTCCATTATGTTACTTTTCAGCCTTATTTCCTAATCCTTCCTTGTCTCCCTTGTTTGCTTTTTCATCTTCCTTGGGAGAATTTTATATTCACCCTTGGTGCTCAGTTTATTTTCTACTTGCCATGTCATAAACACGGTTTTTTTTGTTTTTTAACTTTATTTGTACCTCCTTTTCTCATGCTGGGAGTTCTGGATTTCTTTGTTGTACCTTTCCCTTATCATAGAAAGTCCTTTGTATCTGAAAAATCCATTTTATGAAAACAGCGCATTGTTCAGCTGTGGTTTTCATCAACCTTTGACTCTATTGTATTCAGCCCAGGGCCGTTCTTGCACCATCAAAGTTGGCTCTCCCCCAGTTAATTATTTTACTGTGAATTGTCCATTGCCATTTTCCACCACCATCCTAAACATTAAGATACAATGATCATTGACTCATAAATGCTCCCTCACTGACACTGGATTTACTTGGTCCATCTCATTCGCAAGAACCAGGTCTATCAGTGTCTGCTTTCTTATTGGATTGGACACACATTGCTGTAGGAAATTTCATGGACACAAACTGAGAATGCTTGGTCCTCTTTGCCCTTAACACTGTCACTATCGAAGTCTACATTTGAGTACTTTATAAGAATATTCTTGCAGATTTGTTTCTTCATGTGCTTCCCACTAATTATTGGTCTGTGGATTACACCAAGTAACATAAATACATTCTCCTTGTTCCTTAGGTCCAGCCAAATCAATTCTGTTATTTAACTCTCCTTTCTCCATCAATGTTAGCTATCCTCCTACATTATTTTCCTTTCTCCAGCACTGCAATGGTCTCCTTTAGCAATACTACCACCAGGCTGGCATTCCTGCAGCTACAGACATGACTTCAGAACGTTATGTTATTCCCCAGGTTTCAGGTCAATACTGTTACAGAGTAGCTGCAGAACGTTCTGGGGTAAATGATTAACAAGCAGAACCTCAAAAATAGCAATCTCCTAATACTTCACATTAGATTAGATAGAAACACAGAAAATAGAAGCAGGACTAGGCCTTTCGGCCCTTCGAATCTGCTCTGCCATTCATGATGATCATGGCTGAACATTCAACTCAAAAGCCTATTCCCACCTTTCCTTCATGTCCTTTGACCCCTTTAGCCCTAGGTGCTACACTCAACTCCTTCTTGAAATGACACAATGTTTTGGCCTCACATAAAAACAGAAATTGCTGGAGAAACTCAACATCTGTGGAGTGAAAGCAGAGTTAATGCTTTGAGTCCAGTGGCGCTTCTTCAGGACTCATTGTTTGTTTCAATTTCCAGAATCATCAGTTCATCTCCCATCCTTCCTGGCCCACCAATGGTGTCATGGCATGGCCTTTGCTGCACTCCTCTGAGGAACTACCATCCTCTCATGTATCCAGAATAAAAAAAATAGTTCTTGAGCAAGACCTCAGGGTCTCACGGCAGCCTGGGTAACTTGATTTGTCCTGCATTCTCTGGCAAGCTCACAACAATGCTGGAGCATCAACTTCTAACAAATTATATAATTGACTTGGATGAAGGGACTGAAATTATGGTTGCTACACTTGCTGATGGCAAGAAATAGGTGAGAAAGTAAATTGTGAAGAGGAAATGAGAAACGTAAAATAAATATAATGTGAATTATTAACAATCATGATAACCAATTAGTGGTTACAAAGGGTAATTTTTTTCTTACATATGTCAGAAAGATGGAATCTGGAAGTTTAGAAACTCTCTTGGAAATTCAAAGAGTGCATTGAGATGCAGATCCTAAGAAAACCTCATGTTAAGATGGCAAAGACTGGCTAAGCATTATTGAACCAGCGAGAATACTCCGGCTCCACTTGTTATTTCTGGTCAGAATTATTACCTTTTATAAAGGCAGCTAGAATCTTCTTGTCGGAAATGGGAGCGGGGGAGGATCCTATGCTCCTGCTACTAATTTCTGACATTAAAACATCTTCAACTGTTGAGGCCATTCCAGATGTGTCCCTTATCCAATAAAGCTATTAAATCAAAGGATTTTCTCCCATTCAAGACATAAAAATAAAACAAAGAACTGAAGATGCTGGAGGTCTGACACACAAAAAAAGCAACAGACACTCACCAGGTCTGGCAACATCTGTGGAGGGAAAAAGCAGAGTTAATGTTTTGAGTACACAGAATTTTAAATTTCTGACAAGGGTCACTGCACTTGAAATATTAATTCTGTTTTTACCTCTCCACAGATGTTGCCAAGCCTGCTAATGTCCACCAGCACTTTCTGTTTTTTTCTACCAAGGCATGTTGTTCAACATGTTTATATCTCTTTTGTTTTAAACTAACAACAAGGTTCTTTTTCTATGGGGACTTCTTATGAAATCATTTCACCAGGTTAAATTCTTTTTAAAAAGTCAGTTCAGTCATCCTTGACAGCTGCTGATTGGTGGTGAGGTATACTGCTTATTTGAATATGTAATTACTCACTATCTTAAGTCGAGAGTTCCTTAGTGCCTCGACTAGAAACAAGGTTTGGTCTTTTCCTCTCTTCACGGTAAGTGAGTTTAATTCTTGGTATGGTATTTAATAGTAATTTGTAGAACTTATATGTACAGTACAGTATATTGGATGAAGTTGCATGCTCTTGAATCTTTTGGCTGATGCAAAGAATTGGGTTGATAGGGAATATTTATTAAATCAAGTAAACTTTTAACCTTTGTGGTGTTTGAAACATATCCACAAAAGTTGAATGTTCAGTCTTAATTTTAAAGATATAGAATTCTGGCTTATCCTTTGAATGTCACAAATTCCAGATTTGTGGTTAAAAATTCCAATTTAGGAAAGGTTAATTTTTCACCGAAACTGGGGTTAGAAATTTTGGCTATGACAAAGGTCTGACCCTGCATGGTGCATTTTGAATACTCCTGAGGAGATTTTGAAAGTTGCAGCCAAGTAAAAGCCATGATTGAGCTCCAAATAGCTGAGGTGGGAACTACTACCCTGAACAAAACCTTTGCTCCTCATATTCTGATAACTTCACCTGTAAAAAAAAAAGCAGCCTGGCTATCATTTTGCAAGGACAGCCCCACGGAGATATTCTTGCTGCAGTTGTGGGTTGGCAGTTATTATGTGGTTTTCTTTGTGAATGTTAGGGGGCATTGGGAGGACGGGAGTGTGGGGCCACAGAGGCAGCGCATAAAAGGCGAGTGGATCTGCCCTCCCCTGCATGATGTATAAGGGTGCATAAAGTCACGGAGTCATAGAGTTGCACAGCATAGAAAAAGACCCTTTGGTCCAACTTGTCCCTGCCGGCCAGAAAACCTAAATTAATCTAGCCCCTTTGCCAATATTTGACCCATATCCCTCAAAACCCTTCCTATTCATATGCCTATCCAGATGTTTTTTAAATGTTGTAATTGTACCAGCCTCCACCACTTCCTCTGGTAGTTCGTTCCATGCACACACCATCCTCTGCATGAAGAGGTTGCCCCTTGGGTCCCTTTTAAATCTTTTCCCTCTCACCTTAAACCTACGCCCTCTAGTTTTGGACTCCCCCACCCCGGGGTAAAGACCTTGTCTATTCACCCTATCCATGCCCCTCATGATTTTATAAACCTCTATAAGTTCACCCCTCAGCATCCAACACTCCAGGGAAAATAACCCCAGCCTATTCAGCCTCTCCCTATGGCTAAAACCCTCCAACGCTTGTGAATCTTTTCTGAACCCTTTCAAGCTTCACAACATCCTTTCCATAGCAGGGAGACTAGAATTGCACGCAGCATTCCAAAAGTGGCCTAACCAATGTCCTGTATAGCCGCAACATGGCCTCCCAACTCTTACACTCAGTGATAGTAGGAACTGCAGATGCTGGAGAATCCGTGACAACAAGGTGCAGGGCTGGATGAACACAGCAGGCCAAGCAGCATCATAGGAGCAGAAAGGCTGACGTTTCGGGCCTAGACCCTTCATCTGATGAAGCCACTGTGTTTATTAGGATGATATTTTAGCCTGAAGAGTGTATTTTGTCCCTTTTTTTGTGAAGAAAGGCTGAAACAGAGATGCAGAGCAGTCTGCTCAAAGCCAATAGAGTAAACAGCTTGGGTTTTTTTAAAGTATAGAAGCAGTCTCAATGGGTGGGGTCAAGCTCCCACAGAACCAGGACTTTTAGTTTTAGCTTTCTGCAGTTACAGGGGACTTGAAGCTGGATGTGAAAGCTCTTATTCCTCTCTCTTACAGATAAAAGCTGGCGTTCTCTTCCTGTCGTTAGAATTGCATATGAGACAATCCATTTTACTGAATTTTCCAACTGTGTGCTCATGGGATGTTACCATATTGGAACAGTAATTTTGGTAGTAGTTCATATATATTATTTTGCTGCAGGTTACATATGCTTTATTTAACTAAAATCAATTGTATGTCTGGAATGAGTCAATAATTATAGATCCAGAGAATACTAGAGCTTTAAGTAAAATTTCAATTCTACTCATTATTGGCCCTCAAACTTGTCTCACTTTGTTGGAATGTGACTTTTCAAACAAGTATACTTTAGTTCTTTACAGGTGACAAAATTGTTCAACTGATTAGTAATGGGATCTGCTCTCATTGGTACTTTGAGGAGTTCTGTTCTTGCTTTATTGGAAAGAATATGCAAGACTCAACCTACTTTGTGCTATTCAAATATTACAAATAAAAGTTAAGATTAAGAAAGCCCGAAGTCATCATTTGATTTAATGTACTTTGTTTGGATACGAATTGAAAATATTCCTATGGGCTGAACAGCATATAAGTAAATCTGTCAACTGAAAGTATTTATAGTAATAAGCAGCAAAATGGAATTTTCCTTTTCAACTCAAATGAATTGGTTGAACTATAGAAGATAAAACATTTGTCTCAAATTTTGCGCTGTTAATCCCCAGAGAAAAGACTTACTTGCAATAATATTTTAGAATAGGAAATACATTGTTAAACTTGAAGGGGCTCAGAAAAGATTTACAAGGTTGTTGTCAGGATTGAAGTATTTGTGCTATAGAAAGAGGCTGAATAGGCTGGGGTTATTTTCTCTGGAGTGTCGGAGGCTGAGTGGTGACCTTATAGAGGTTTATAAAATCATGAGGGGCATGGATAAGGTGAATAGCCAAGGTCTTTTCCCCCAGGATAGGGGACTTCAAAACTAGACAGAAAAGGTTTAAGGTGAGAGGAGAAAGATTTAAAAGGGACCCGAGGGACAAATTTTTAATGCAGAGGATTGTGCGTCAATAGGATCAGCTGCCAGAGGAGGTGGTGGAGGTGGGTACAATTACATTTCAGAGGCATCTGGATAGGCATATGAATAGGAAGGATTTAGTGGGATAGAAGCCAAATGCTGGCAAATGGGACCAGATCAGCTTAGGATGTCTGGTCTGCCCGGATGAGTTGGACTGAAGACTCTGTTTCTGTGCTGTATAACTCTATGACTCTATTTCAATAGAGTCACAAGTAAGCCAAATCTTTTATTTTATTTTTATCTTGCCTGTATTTTAACTGTAGTCTAAAAATAAAGTGTGTTCCGCTTAAAGTCGAATAGTTTGACTAATCCAATTGCATCTGGAACATCACGCCTTACACATCTTTAAAATAAGAAAAAATTAGTGTTTAAGACTATCTTCTTAATATATTTTGAGGGGGCTTGGTCTGGTCCATAACATTTATGAGGTAAGTCCAGTTGAGTTTCTCGTCAATGGTAACCAGGACATTGATAGTGGGGGAATTCAGTGACATTAACACTATTGAATGTCAAGGAGTAGTGGTTAGTGAAATAACTCCACAGAGTCCAGTATCCCATCACCAAGTCACTTGGAGAGTCTTTGACACTGATCCAGTTCCCTCAGACCCAGCTCGCAGAGGGAACAGGATGTCTGACACTCCTTATCTGGTCCAATCAGAGAAGTCATATTCTATGAGGTTCACCTGTCTGACCTCATAAAAATCACAACAGCTAGGTTGTCTCTTATTGGTAATGGTCATAGCTTGGTGCAAATGTTATTTGCCATTTGTCAGCCCAAGCCTGGATATTGTCCACATTTTGTTGCATTTACACATAGACTGCTTCTGTACCTGAGGAGTCATGAATGGTGCTGAACATGGTACAATCACCGGCGAACATTCCCACTTCTGACCTTATGATGGAGGAAAGATCATTGATGAAGTGTCTGAAGATGGTTGTGCCTAAGACATCTTCAGACATTAGGCCTTGGGACATCATAGGTCCAGAGGCCAGATGGATGGAGAGTACAGGAACTGGATGAAAGTGTCTGTCGTGAGGATTAGATTTGGTTCCTCCTCTCAATTACCCCCAAATATCCTTTCCATGTAAATATGAGTTGCAGCACCTGCTCTTTTAGTTCCCCACTTTTCAGATTCCAAGAACCCAAACACCTCCCAAGTGAAATCGCAATTGGAGTACTCTTACAATTCCACATATTATATTTGTCACGTGTGATGCAATTTCCTGGAGAACAGAGCTTTGCAGGAAAAAAGCATTCATTCTCAGATCTCTTCCTCTGCCCCCATGCAGTGTTCCAGTAAATCTCAACGTAACCTTCGAAAAAGAGGTCTCCCCTTTTGTTTGATTTGACACTTTACAGTCCTGGCTTGACACTTGCCCCAGTAGCAATACGTGCTGAACACTTTCCATTGCACAATTTCAGCCCATAAACTCATACAATTTTGTTTCACTTACTTTGTGTATGTCAGTTTTATCCTTGTATGCATTTTTCTGCCTTTGGCCAGCAATTGCTTGTGCTGCTATTCACACCTGTTGTTGAGGCTTTATTATTACCACTCTATTACCTCTATTACCACTCCTTTGACTCTGCCAAATAATTCTCTTTGTCATTTAATCTCTCCTGTCTACCACTCTGACACAAACATTTTCTTTTGTTTCTCCCATCAACCCCAGTTCACCTACTTGGCTTGTTTACATTTTCAACTTCTCCCAGTTGTGATGAAAGGTCATTGACCTGAAATGTTAACTCTGCTTGCCTCAACGAATCCTGCCAGATCTCTTTGGTGCCTCTCTGATATTCTTATTATCTTGTTCTTGATCAAGATTATTAACTGTGTGTGCTAAATATTGTGAATGTTCTCTATCACTTTGTAAAGACCCAAGGTAATCCAACTGAATCTGATCAGGATACACGTATAAGCAATACTTGGCTGCTAAAGTAGTAGCATGTTTGGTAAACTACTGTTCCTCTTATTAAGACTGATGCTTTGTTGATTGCTTTGTTATAATTTTTGCCTGCACCAAATTGCAAAGAAATTTTTTTGAGCTTAATAGTTAAAGTATTAAAGAGTCTAATTTTCCTCCAGCAAGATGCTTTACTGAAGTTAAATCTTTGCTAATAAAACACTAATGGCAGCTATTTTTGTTCAATTTGCCTGAAAAAGTTACTTAAATTAAATCTGCACACTGTTCAGAATATACTGTCTCAATGGTAAAATCAGCCAAATGTATAATCTTTGTTATTCTGGTAAAATATAAAAGCCTAACTGGAATATTTCACCAGGGCCATGACTTGTGAAACAAATAGTGACTATAATATATATTTGAGATAACAAGGTGTAGAGCTGGATGAACACAGCAGGCCAAGCAGCATCATAGGAGCAGGAAGGCTGACGTTTCGAGTCTAGACCCTTCGTCAGATGATGCTGCTTGGCCTGCTGTGTTCATCCAGCTCTACACCTTGTTATCTCAGATTCTCCAGCATCTGCATTTCCTACTATCTCTGATACAATAATATATATTTGTTATTTTCATCCCCAGGGTTGAAAAGTCAATGGAATCAGGCACCGATAAGAAAGCCTACAAATTGTGAATGAGTGACAAAAAAATCAATTTATTTAACCTTTTAATGGTGGGTTGTGTTTTGCAATAAGTAGCGAGGTGCTGCTTATTTGAATATACAATAAATCATTCAATTATAAATTGAATTCCTTGATTATAAATTGAATTCCTTGATCTGGGGTAGCAACTCCTGCAGAAGAAGAATATTCTTCCCCATTCAATGTAATGTGTTTTAATTTTTATGCAATTCTGTGTGAAGTTTGTATCTGATTCCATTGAAAGAAATGGTTCGCTCTTTCACCTGAGCAGGCTTTAAAATTAGTCATAAATCAAGTTAACCTTTGAAATCTTTATCACCATTGCAAATATAATCCCTTCAATTTTATTGTTAAAAGATTTAATCTGAGTATACATTGTAAAAGTTTAGGGTTAAACATTAACAACAAATAAGTTTTGGAACTTCACTGGATCAAAATGTTATTACTTCAATCATATTCTTAGAAATTTTTTCCCAGCAATTTAATAATTTGAATTTCCTTATTATCAAAAAATAAGTTTAATTTGCACTTTTGTTCATGGGTTGTGGGCAACACTGGTTGGAGATGTATATATTGCCCATTCCTAATGGCCCTGGAGAAAGTGGTGAGCTGCCTCCTTGAACTGTTGCAGTCCTTAGTACAACACAGTGCTGTTGGAAAGGGAGATCTGGAATTGGGAACAAGTAAAAGTGAAGGAATGATGTATTTCCAAGTCTTGATAACATGGCTTGGAGGAGAACTTTCATGTGGGGGTGCTCCAACATATGGTGCCCTGTCCTTCTAGGTAGTAGAGTTTATTGATTTGGAAAGAGCTCTCAAGCCTTGTTGAGATGCTGCAGGGCATCTAGTAGATGGTGTACACTGCTGTCATTAAATTGGGGATGGGTAGGGTGCCAATCAATTCTGCTAAACTTCTGGACTATGTTGAGCTTGCTTGAGAGTTGCTAGAATCCTCCAAGCAGGGAACGTATCCCATCACACCCCCCAGCTTTAAGTTGGTGGACAGGCACTGGAGAATGGTCGGGAAATTACTCGCCACAGATTCCTAGACACTGACCTACTCTCGTATTCAAAATGGGCAAAATCGTTTAATGGCCTGAATGATGTGGGCTATGGCAAGAAATGTGGCAGAATCACACAAGAAGTCAAGCATATCCTATCACTGCTTTGGGACCACCTCGCTGCATCTTTTAAGCAGGTTCCACGTGTTGATATGAGATTGTTGCTTGGGAGGAGCAGGTTGCTTGCTAACGGGGATTAATGCTTGTTAAAGCCTTATTAACTGCTCATCTCACCTCATGGATATATAGCTTTCTATACTACCAACCAACACCCAAAACATAAGAGGTGAGAATTTTTGCCCTGGAAGTCAACGGGTACTTAGCAACTGTACTCACCATTGCCTGCAAAGAACCTCCATGTGGCTCAGTACCTGGGGACAGGATCCATGATCACCAATCACACAGGTCCATGAATGTTGGCATCC